CGGACGGGACGCGCGCTTTCATCGCCAAGGGCGGCTGGCGTTGGGGCGGGCTGCAGCCAGATGGTGGGCCTCAGGAGGCGCTGCCCCAGCCGAGGGGCGGGGGAGAGTGCGAGGACGAGGAGGAGGATTCGGAGGAGGAGCGCCTTTTCCCTCTTCCTCCTCCTCCTCCCTCCCTTCTCCCGTCCCGCCCCGTCGGGTTAGTTGTGCGGCCGATTTTCCTGGCTGCGGGGGCGTTTGGTCCCCTTGCCGCGGGCAAGTTGTGATCGCGCTTCGGCTTGATCGCAGGATTCGGAGGAGGAGGATGAGGAGGAATAGGAGGAGGAATAGGAGGAGGAGGAGGAGGAGGAGGAGGACCAGCGCACATAGTGATGATGAGGTCTGATTGTCTCTGGAGCCAGCCGCACTATGTGGGCTGGCTCTCCCCCTGCAGATCTCTCACAACTTGGGCGAGGGGTAAGGGGGCTTCAGACTCACCGCAGAATTTGCTCTTCCTTTGGGGCGCTGCCCTGCAAGCGTTCGCTGTAATTGCAGGGCCGTGCCATTGTTCGGGTACGCCCTTGGGCAATCCGCCTGAAGGCCTCTGGAACGCGATCCGCTGAAAGAGCTACATCTGCATCACATCAAGATACTGCAGGGGATGATATGATCTGCATACCCAAAAATAAATTGCGTGCCCACGTGGCTGGGCCGCCAAATTCGAATGGTGCGTGCGTGAAGTTGGACACGTATCTTGTGCCCTCTCCTCCAGACGCTTCTGACTGCTGCAGCCTACTCGACAGTCTGCATAGATACAGCGCCGTCGATACTTTAACCACTGATGGGCCCTCCCGGGAGTCTCCTAGGGAGGGGGGGGGCAGCCCTCAGAAGAGCAGGAGGAGGAGGAGGAGGAGGAGGAGGAGGAGGAGGAGGAGGAGGAGGACCTCCCCAGGAGGAGCCAGCCGAGGCCGCCCCTGTGGGTGGATTCAGGGACTTCCCAGGCTTGAAAAGCGCTTTGCCTCCAGCTCTCGGGGCAGGTGTAGGGGCTTTGGACATGTAAGCCAAACTATGCGCGAGTAGCGCAGCCTGGCTGTCGCCTGCCTCGATTTCAAGGCTACAAGGCTGGCGGGATTTGGCGGCTGCTATCTAGGCAAACCTATCCGCAGCAGCATTTCCCGTGGCTCTTCTCCACTGGTCGCTGTCAGGCTCTAGCCTGTCTGTATCCACGTGGGCCATGATCCTGTGCAGGCCGGGACCGGGGGGGCCACGAGCGGCCCCTCCGAGCTCCTTCAGCAGGGGAACGAAAAATGGCATAAGCATAAAAATTCGGAGGTCCGCGCGGATTTCTCGGATCCGCGCTGGACCCCCCTCCCTGGCGCGCGGAGCGCCCCAGGGGCGGCACCTCCGAGTTGTTCTGTTTATGTCATTGTTCGTTCCCCTATTCAGGGCGCCCATTCCTGCGGGAGAGAGGCTCAGTGTGGACGTCGATGGCTGCTGGGTGTTCTGCGACGATGCGGGCTTGCGGGTCGGCATTAATACGGCCAGCGGCTGGCGCAAGGAAGAGGAGGAAGAGGAGGAGGAGGAGGAGGAGCAGGAGGAGGAGGAGGGGGAAGAGGAGGAGGAGGTGGAGGAGGAGGAGGAGGAGGAAGAGGAAGAGGAAGAGGGAAGAGGGAAGAGGAGGATTCGGAGGAGGAGGAGGAGGAGGAGCAGGGAGGGAGGGAGGGAGGGAGGAGGGAGGGAGGATGAGGGAGGAATGATGATGATGATGATGATGATGATGATGATGATGATGATGATGATGCTGAGGAGGAGGAGGAGGAGGATCAGTGTAAACCCAAGACTCATCAACGATGTTGAAATGAACCCTCCCCCCAGCATCCCTCTTCGCAGGCCCCTACAAGGGCCCATTTCCACTGAAGGAATTGCCCCGTTGGGGGACAACCGTATGAACATCCTGAAGCGTGCCAAAGCACCTTTCGCTGGATTTCAACGCCACGAGTTAACCTGACTGCTACGCCTTGGTAATCGTGAATCGTGCCAGAACACCATTCCTGGGATATCAACACCGCGAATCAACGTAACTGTTGCGCCCTGGCCATCCCCAATCGCTTCAAAACAAATTCTCTGGTGCGTGAACCATGGGAACCGATGAACCCCTTGCAAAACTTAAGAACGCATGTGCGCGGCGCTCAAGCGAGAGCCACATTTTGAGAACGACCGGCCCCAATCAGTCAAACTCTTGCAAATGTTTGAAACGAGTGCGCGCGGCGCTAAGGCGAGAGCAGATGTTTGAAACCGACCAACCCTCAATCCGTGAATTTGCTGCAAATGTTCAAAGCGAATGCGCGCGGCGCTAAAGCGAGAGCCACATGTTGAAAACGACCCGCCCTCAATCCGTGAAGCTCTTACAAGTCCTTACACATGTTTGAAATCAATGTGCGCCACGCCAAGGAAAGAGCCACATTTTGAAATCGGCCCGCCCTCACTTCGTGAAGCGCTTGCAGATGTTTGAAACGAACGTGCGCGGCGCTCAAGCGAGAGCCACATTCTGAAAACGCCGCCCTCAATCCGTGAAGCTCGTCAATGTTTTGACACATGAGCGCAGCGCTAAGGCGAGAGACACATGTTCAAAACGGCCCGCCCTCCATATGTGAAACCGTTGTCAGTTTTTAAGCATGAGGGTCATAAGTGGCGTGGAAGTCTCAGGCGAAACGCCCGGCCCGCCCTTTCGACCAGCCTCGGGGCTCGACAGGGAGGAGTTATGTATAAGGAAAATGGAGGAGGAGGAAGAGGAGGAGGAGGAGGAGGAGGAGGAGAAGGAGGAGGAGGAGGAGAGAAGGAAGTGGAGGAGGAAGAGAAGCAGGCGGAGCAGGAGGATTAGGAGGAGGACGAGGAGGAGGGCGGGAGGGGGATGGAGGAGGAGGAGGAGGAGGGAGGAGGGGGGGAACAAGGAGGAGGAGGAGGAGGAGGAGGAGGAGGAGGAGGAGTGGGAGCATAGGAGATGAACGTGCGTTGTCGCGTCACGGGTCCACGCCGAGTGCAATCTCGGCCCTCTGCCTCATTTAACGTCGCTTGCCCCTTACGCCTCGCGGGGGGGCGATTACCCAGGAGGAGGAGGAGGAGGAGGAGGAGGAGGAGGAGGAGACGGAGGAGGAGGAAGAGGAGGAGGAGGAGGAGAAGAAGGAGAAGAAGGAGGAGGAGGAATGGCGAGAATACAGAGAGTAGGGGAGGACGACGATGACGGGGAGGACGAGGAGAATGGGAGATGACAAGACGAGGACAAACTAGGAGGCGCCTGTGAGCAGGATGGGGGTTTGTTTTCTCGGCTCCCCCTCTCCTCTCGACCCCATGTTAGTTATGTGATCCCTGCCGCCTGTGGAACTGCCAGGTCGTGAGTGCCGAGTGCCAAGATGAGGAGGCAGCGGGAGACATGATGATGAGGAGGACCAGGGCAAACCCAGCATGTAACAACGAGTTTGCAATATACCTCATCTCCAAGCTACTTCTTTGCTCGTTCCTACAAGCGTTACTTTTCACTGCGTGACGCGTTCTCTCTGACAGACGAACACCCCATGGGCCCGCAATTTAGGCGGGAGCTACGTGTTGGAAGACATTCCCCTCTGTTACTCGAGCTGTAGACTGCGACAGGGTGGGGTCGTACAGTTCAAGGACATACCCAACGACAGCCCCGTCTGGAATGGAGCCGCCCTCCATACTTCTCGCTGTTGTACGCACTTAGAGCGAAGTCTCACTCGATAGCCCCATTTGGTCAGGAACCGCCCTCCATCCGTAGAGCCGATGCCCAATCAGGTTGTAGTTCATACTTGTTGTTTTCAGGAAGTCCCAGGCTAGAGCTTAAACGCAAATAATAAACGACCTGCCCTCCATCCGTGCACTTGTCGGTTTTTGTTAAGTAGAGTGTGCGCGGCGCCAGGGAGAGAGCCCAGCTCTGAAAACGACTCGCCGTCCATCCGAGTTCTTTCGTTGGAAATGCGTACGGCGAGTTTGCGCGGTGCCAGCGCAAGAGTCCCATTTTGAGAGCCACCTGCCATCCATCCGTGCAGCTCTTGGAAGCGTCAAGCTTCAATATCGTAAACGATGAGGAAGCTTCAGGCTAAACGCCTGGCCCGCCCTGACGACACATCTGGTGGTGCGACAGGGAGGGGCTATCTGCAAGGAAGATGGATGGAGGATGGAAGCCTCGGCGGAGGAGGAGAAGGAGAGGGGGGAGAAGGAGGAGGAGGAGGAGGAGGAGGAGGCGAAGGAGGACAATTGTCATCCCTCCAGGATCCCTTTTCATAGGCCCCTACGCGGGTTCGTTTCCATTGAGGGAAGTGCCGCGTTGGGAGACAACCGTGTGGAAATACTGAATCGTGCCGAAGTATCATGCTCAATATTGGACGCCACGAATCAACTTCACTGTCGCGTCTTGACGATCCTGCATCGTGCAAGAACACCATTCCTAGGACTCCAGCACCGCGAATGAACGTAACGGTTGCGCCCTGATAATCTCGAATCGCTCCAACACCGTTCCTGGCCCCTCCAACTATGAGACTCAGGGTAACTCTTGTAACGTGTTAAAACTCGTGCGCGCGACGCTAAGGCGATAGCCACATTTTGGAAAGGAACCGCCTTCAATCCTTGAAGCTCTTGCAATTGACGAATATTCGCTGCGCTAATGCGAGACCCACATCTTGAAAACGGACCGCCCTCAGTCTGTGAAGTCTACGCAGTGTCCTAGAACGAATGTGCGCGGCGCTAAGGCGAGAGCCACATCTTAAAAACCACCCGCCCTCCATTTGTAAACATGTTGCCATGTTTGAAGGTTCAGGCTCATAAGTGGTAAGGCAGTCACAGGCGATCTGCCCAGCCCGCTCTTCCGACTGGCCTCGGGGTGCGACAGGGAGGAGTTATTCATAAGGAACAGGAGCGGAGGGATACGAGGGAGAGGGAGGAGGAGGAGAAGGAGGAGGAGGAGGAGGAGGAGGAGGAGGAGGAGAAGGAAGAGGCGCGAGTGTGCCGAGGCCGCCTGGTGCTACAGCCCATCGGGCTTCTCGCCGGGGCACCTCCGCGCGCTCCGGGACTTCGCCTCCGAGCACTGGGCGCCCCTCTTCGACGGCCTCTTGCCCGCGCGCCTGGACCACACGGGTCCTGCGGCAGGCGCGTGCCACCTCGGCGTGGCGGCGGAGCGGGCGCGGGCGTTCAGGGTTGAACACCCCCATAACCCCAGCCAGGACCTCCTCCTCCTCTCTCTTTCCTACTCACTCCTCCTCATTATCCTCCTCCTCCTCCTCTCCTCCTCTCCTCCTCCCCCTCCGCCTCCTCCTGCCTCCTCCTCCTCCTCCTCTCCTCCTCCGCCTCCTCCTCTGCCTCCTCCTCCTCTCCTCCCTCCTCCTCCTCCTCCTCATCATCATCATCATCATCATCATAATCATCATCATCATCATCATCATCATCATCATCATCATCATCATCATCATCATCATCGGTGTCTCTTCTTCCTATACCTCCTCCTACTTGTTCTCCTCGTCCTCCGCTTCATCCTCCTCATCTTCATCTTCATCTTCATCATCATCGTCATCATCATCATCACCATCTTTCATCAACCTCATCAGCAGCATCACCATCATCAGCATCATCAAATGAAGCAGCATCATCATCAGCCATCACCCATCATCATTACCACCACCATCATCATCATCATCATCATCATCATCATCATCATCATCATCATCGTCGTCGTCGTCGTCGTCGTCGTCGTCGTCGTTATCATCATCACCATCATCATCATCATCATCATCATCATCATCATCATCATCATCATCATCATCATCATCGTCATCGTCATCGTCATCGTCATCGTCATCGTCATCATCGCCATCATCATCCTCACCCTCGTCCTCATCCGCATCTTCTTCTTCCTCCTCTTCCTCCTCGGGGCCCTCCTCCTCCTCCTCCCCAGGTTTTCGTCTTCCGCCTCCTCCTCCTCCTTCTCCTCAGGTTCTCTTCCTCCTCCTCTTCCGCCTCCTCCTTCTCTTCCTGATCCTCCTCCTCGGGCTCAATTTCTCATCCACCTCCTCACCATCATCCTCGTCCTCATCCTCATCCTATTACTCCTCCTCCTGCTCCCGCATCCTCCTCGTCGCGCCCCTGTTCCTCGGGTTCTCTTCCTTCACCACGTTTTTGTGCGTTGGCCAGGCCTTATGTGTGCACATGCGGCGCCCTTGCAGTGGAAGGATGTCAACGAGTCGGGTCAAAAAAGGCACATGGCGGGCGCCGCGGAAAATGACAGAGTGCGAGCGTAGGACGATACTGTTAGTGAGAGTAGGCGCCTGCGAGGTGGGACGACACTCACCTTTGTGGAAGGCAACAGCAGCAGGAACGATATTCAATAGCGGTAACAGCCTTAAGATCGTTGGTGGGTGTCGCCGCAGCAGGCCAGATAGAGAAGGACGGCACGGACCTTAGCAAGTAACGAGGTATGAGTGCATTGGGTGGCGACGTCGTTGTAGAACAACATCTGTGCACAGAGTAGCTCCGTCGACATCATCGCGAAATAACGCAGCGCATCTCGGAGTTGGGGCCACAGAAGCGCTTGGGAGGGTCGACTACCGCGCTGCCTTCTTGAGCCCCAAGGGGACCTCGGCATTACCATATTGCTAGTGCCGATTCCATTCTCCGAGGAGCTTATCCACCGCCTTATCACCCTGAAGTGGTAGCCCGTCCTCTCCCATCAATTGCGGGAGGGGGTCGTGTCTTTGCAGTACTTGTGCGCAGCTTTCCCCCCCTTCGCTTCAGCGCCCCTGGCACGTTCTCTCCATCTCTGCAAACGGTCCTTGGCGGCTTCGCGGATCACAAACGCAGCCTGTCAATGTCAGCCAGTGCCCGCTCAAAGCGTTCAACGGCAGCCACGTGCCAACGCCAAATCAATAACTTCACAGAGCCGTCGCCTGGGTAGATACAGGTTTGTGTACTCCACCGCCACCCTCCGATGATGACACCCGCCTCCCCCAGAATGCCTGGCTGGTACGAGCGCTGCTCGTGGTACAAGCAATGGAGGTGAGGGGTGAGGGTGAAAACTGCAGTTCGGGGTCAGACCATGTGGGGACTCAAGTGTGCACGCGGTGTGTGTGTGTGTGTGTGTGTGCTGCGGTAGGGTGTTAAGATTTACCCCTAACCTGCAGAAAAGAAAGCATGCAATCCTCGGGCTGCGACCCAGGGTGTTGCAGGATTACCCCGAACCTGCGTAGAGAGAGAGAGAGAGAGCGAGAGAGAGAGAGGTGCCACCAGCGTGTCAGGGCCGCGCGGAAGGTGGAGGTGCAACGCTCACCAGTGATGTATGTCTGAAACAAAAGCATGGAGAACAAGAAGGCAGTGGGCATACATTGCTTCAAGTGGCCACGTTCCTGGGTGAGTATGCCAGAGATGAGACAAAGCAGCTAAAGCGCGTAGTGAAGCAGTTCTTGAAGTGTTGCTTTGGATTGTTGCGTAGGGTGCATTGCTAGCATAGTGGGAGGTGCTGCAACGGACGGTGTGCAGCGAGAATCCCACAACTGTAACGTGGGCATAGTGTTCACGTGTCCAGGGTTGTGGAGCAAAAAAGCTAGACTGCATGCACATCGCTTCAAGCTTCGTAGCGACAGTACGGCTGGACAAGTCAAAATTGTAAAGACTCTCGTGCCAGCAGCAGGCCCGCTCTTTTAGCCAACAGTAGGCCCGCGCTTTGGTTCCTAGGTGGAGGGGCCACCGGACAAGGAAATAATGAACACTGGTGTAATACGAGTCAGCGTTGAAGTATCTGGTGGCTACTGAGCATATGGACGCAGCATGTACCTCTGAAAGACGACACAAAACAAGGCACCAGAGATTCAGTACAAGCTGCTTCAAGTAGGCACCTGCTGTTGCTGAGGCTGGCCTGTGAGGTCGGCCAGGCAAAGTTTGTAACCAGTGTGGTAAGGACAGGCTAAAACGTGGCGTGATAACGCCAAACGGGCTGGGGCTGTCCTGTGGTCCTTCAGTGACCGCCAATCCACGCGTTGCTTATGGTAAAACAACGGAGGTGAGGGTTGAAAAAACAGCAGTTCGGGGTCGGACCCTGTGTGGACCCAAGTGTGCACGGCGTGTGTTGCGGTAGGGCTTTTAAGGCTTACCCCAAACCGACAGAAAAGAAAGCAGGCAATCTTCGGGCTGCGACCCAAGGCTTTGCAGGATAACCCCGAACTTGCGTAAAGAGAGAGGTGCCACCAGCGTGTCGGGGCCGCGCGGAAGGGAGGGTGCAGGGCATCAGGGAGTGTCCTCCACCACCTCCTCCTACTCCTCCTCCTCCTCCCTCCTCGTGCATCCTCCTCCTCCTCCTCCTCCTCCTCCTCCGCCGTTTTGCGTGCTCGCCAGCCGTCCTTCCCCATCACCCCCAACTATGACCCCCCGCTCCCGACCTAGTGCTCCAGGGGGTCCTGGCTGGGGGTGGGGGTGCTGTTTGAGGTTCTCAGTGGCGAAAAAGCCATTCTTACCCCCCCAGCCAGGACCCCTGGATCACAATGTCGAGAGAAGGGGTCCTGGCTGTGGGTGGGAGTGGGTTGTGGTGTCCTCATCTGCTGGCTTGTTTTGGGCCTGGGGGCCCTCAGACAGCAACCGACGGCCGATGACGAGAAAGTCAGTCGAAAGATGAGGTCGACAGCCCCTGGCGACCTCCGAGAGCGGATGCTTTTCAATGTTGAATGTTTCACGCGGTGTCGAAAGCCAGGGCCACACGTCGTCGTGGCAGGAGCTTGCCGCAGGTTGGGCGTTGTTAGAATGTGGTTCGCGTTCGACGCCCACGCCGGAGAAGCGATGGTTGTCAGGAGGAGGAGGAGGAGGAGGAGGAGGAGGAGGAGCTATAAATCATATTGCTCGCATCAGGAGCAGGATGATTATCCGAAATCAAGGTTTGGGATGTCGTTGGCCCTTCCGAGGCTTCCAGGAGGCTTCTCGCCGCCACGGCTGGATTCCCCTCGAAGTTCTAGTCGGAACACACCCTGGGCAGGTCGACGGGGCGATTTTCGCAATCAGCAATCCCGACGATTGGCTCTTTATAGCCTATGATAGGTTCCCATCGGCCAATGCACAGGCTATGTATAGGCCTGCCATAGGCTTGTGGACAGGCCATCCACAGGCCTAAGGAAGAGGAGCAGCTGGAGGGCGAGGAGCAGCCGAGCATCTGCGCAGCAGCACTAGGGTGAGGAGCAGCTGATCAGTTGAGCAGGAACGGTTGCGCAGGAGCTGGAAGATGAGGAACGATTGCGAGGGTGACTCGAGCGGTGATTATCATGCCCCACTTCCATAACTCATGACTCGAGTAATGGCCCGATGACCAAGCCAGCAGGGTGGGGGATCGGTTCGGGCAAGCAGGCACTTCTTACATAATGGGGGGCGTCCTCCTCCACCTCGGCCTTGTTCTCGCTCCCTCCCCTGCCGCGACAAGAGACAATGAGGGCACCTTTCCCCCCACCCTCCCCGCCTGCTCAGGGGACCTGTGCATGGGTAATCCGCGACCCCCCTGTCGCTAAGGACAAGTCTCCAACCTCCATCGGCGAGCTCAAGGCTTCCTTCGACGGGGCCATTGTTGCGGGGTACAACATTTTGTACTACGCCTCTTGCGAGTTGGGCCGTTTAATGTCCACCAACCTGCAACACCAATAACGATCTCTTGAAACACGTGATCAACCCCTCCCGATCATGTGGCCAGTTCACGCCATCTGCTTGCCATGGATCCGTGCCAGCGTGAGTCCCAAACAATGGGTTCTTGCACTACGCGGGCGGTGCTATAGCTTCGGCCATAAGACGTTAGGAAGTCGACGCTCCCCCCACACGTAGAACCTTCTCGACAGTTTTCTGGTTGGTCTTGGGCCCGACTGCGATGGGTTCGCATCCGCTAGCGATATGTGTATTGATGCATGCATACATGTATGCATGTATGCATGTTTGTGTGCATGCATGTATGTATGTATGCATGTAGGTATGTATGTACGTATATGGATGTACGTAAATACGTGTGTACTGGTGTGGTGTGATGTGGTAGGTTATGCGTGTATGTCATGTATGTAAGGTATGCATGTATGCACGTTGTATGTAGGTAGGTACGTATGTGTGTATGCGTGTGTGACTGTAGGCAGGTATGGACGGATGTATGGGTGTGTGTACTTATGTATGCATGCATGAATGCACGTATGTATGCACGATACATGCATTATACATGTACGTACACATGTACATGCATGCGTGCATGCGTATATGCATGCATGTACGTTTGTATGTATGTATGCATGCATGCATGCATGCATGTATGTATGTATGTGTATGTATGTGTGTATGTATGTGTATATGTCTATATTTTCCCTACCTTGGCTCTGCCTAGAAGGGTTCTTACTCTCTTGGCTTAAAGGGGCCGGGCAGTGGGCTCCGCCCCGGGCGGTTCCCCCAGGATCCGCCCCGCGGTTCCCCCAGTTGCGTCCCCTTATCTTAGCGTTGCTTATCTCATCTTAGCTTAGCTTATTTCATCTTAGCTTAGCTTAGCTTCATCTTAGCTCAGGTTTATCTTAGCTTAGCTTACCTTCATCTTAGCTTCGCTGAGCTTTAGGATAGCAGAGCACAGCATAGCATAGCATAGCGTAGCATAGCATAGCGCAGCACAGCATATCATAGCATAGCCTAGCATAGCATAGCATCGCGCAGCATAGCATAGCATAGCATAGCATAGCGCAGCACAGCACAGCACAACATATCACAGCGCAGCATAGCATAGCAGAGCAGAGCAGAGCATAGCATAGCATAGCAGCAAAACAAAGGCAAAGCAACAGCAGCGACAGCAAAGCAAAGCACAAGCAACGCAAAGCAAAGCAAAGCAAAGCAAAAGCAGAAGCAAAGCAAAGGAAAGGCAAAACAAAAGCAATGTGCGACAGATGCCGAGCTAGCCTCGAAGGCCGGACCGGAGCCCCCGCAAGCAGTGCCTTCCGTAACAATTTCGGCTCAAGTCCGGAGGCTTTGCCACACAGCCGCCCGCGTTCATGCCCCGAGGTTGGCGGAGTGAGGCGTTCAGCGGTGCTGCACAGCCCGCCTCGGCACCAGGTGGTGCTGCACAGCCCACCCAGCTTGTTGTGGCCATCGATGTGGGCGACGTCGCGTCCAAGCGGAACGACGATCAGCGGGTTGAAGGCAGCAAGATGTACACGGCTATCGAGGATGGCTTCTGGGCGTTCGTTGTGCTCTTTGCGGCTGAGTACGGCCTGCAAGATATGCACGTCATCAGTCGCACGACGCGGGGCACGTGGTACTCGCACGATGCCCGCCTGGGCAGGGTAGAGGCGTTGGTCGTCAGGCTGATCCGGAGCGCAGGCTTGCTCGAGATGGGGATGCCTGGCGCGAACATCCATTTGACGTCTGAGAAGAGCGGGGGGGATGGAAAGGGTGTTGCTTCTCGGCACTTGCAGCTGACCCACCTGCTCGACAACGATCTCGAGCGCTTGTGGAGTGTCTTGAACGGCGGAGTTGGCAACTCGGGCCTGTCGATCAGGCGGAGCAAGGGCCGCGTCATCCAGTGCACGCGCGTCCGCCCTGTGCGCAGCAGGCGGTGGTTCGATGAAGACGACGACTGGCTGGAAAGGTGCGACTCGCGGTTCCGGGTTGCCGAATACTTCCAGCTTGGGCCACTGCAAAAGCAAACGCAAAAGCAAGAGCAAAAGCAAAGGCAAGGCAACGCAAATCAACAACAAAACCAACGCGAAAGTGTAGATGTATATGTAGATGTAGGTGTAGGTGTAGATGTAGATGTAAATGTAGGTGTCGATCTAGGTGTAGATGTAGATGTAGATGTGCGTATCGCTGTTGATGTAGATGTAGATGCAGGTGTAGATGTTAATGTAGCTGTCGGTGTAGATGCAGATGTTGCTTTCCTAGATGCTCCAACTCCTAGGTAGGGTCGCACTGGGATAATTTGTGTATATTAGCGCGCGCGTGCTACGTACATACACATACACGTAAGTATGTTTACGCAAAACTGCACTTTCGCTTCGCGACATGCACCTTGGCCATTGAAGCTCGGCGTACAAGCGAAAGGGCAGGGAGGTAAAACAGAACACCCCGTGATAACTACGTAGTGCATTTGTTTCTGACGTCGCCGTTGCAACGATGCGAATTGTTGTCCATTCCTCATGTTTCCTCTTCCTGCCCCTCATTCTCGCCGTGCCCTGCGAGCGCTTCCCCATCCTCAGCCCTTCTCGCGGGGCCTCCCTCTCGGATAGCCTATGGGGGGCCTCGCGAAAGTTCGCAAGGACTTCTTGGGGCCTTCTGGAGGCCCCCTGTGCGTCTTCTGGGGGCCTCTGGGGGCTTCTTCGGGCCACCCTGCTTCAACCGCGGTCTCCCTGAACGACTGCGTCACGATTTGGAATTATTCGGGGACGTATTGGGGCCATCTTGGGCCGTCGTTGAGCTCTCTTCGGGCCGTCTTGGGGCCCTGTTGGGCCGTCCTGGGGCTCTCCTGGATTGCCTGGAATCCTTTTCGGGTAGTTCCGGGGAGTTTTTCGGGCCTCCTGGGCGATTTCGGCCGCCCGGAAGACCGAATAACCAGAGCATTCCCAAACTCATGCGACAACCCAGAAACAAACGATGTTTTTTTGCGGTTAGAAGGCATCTTAGGGGGTCTGCTTTGGGTCGTCTTAGGTCATCTGGTGGTCGTCTTGGCCTCTTGGGGCCCTCGGGGGGCCGTCTGGCCGCCCTCTTGACCGATTTGCGCCCGTTGCTTAGGCCCAGCAGAAGCTTCCAGGAGCTCCAGGAAGTCCACGGGGCAGGGGCGTTAATGGGGCTCCCGGGGCCACGGATCCGGGGGGTCTCGTTTTGGGGCGACCCGTTTGCACAAATACAGGAATTGGAATAACGGCGTGATAACGGCGTGGTGATCGATAGTCATTCCGTCCCACCGCAAGTAGGCCCAGAAGCCACTCCGACTTGGACCCAATTGCATTGCAATCGCTCCGCACGGGACACTTGAGCTCATCATGATCGTCTTCGCCATCGCCGTTGTCATATCCATATCGGCGCGATGCTGGGCCATCCCAGAGTGCCCACGAAGTCTCGCGAATCCTCAGCGGTGTTCGTCCGCATCATCGTGGGCCGTCGGCGGCGCGCGGGGCCTTTTGGTTATTCTCCGCTGATGGTAAGAAAAACGCTAGCACCCGGCAAGTATCACTGTCTTGTCTATGTTGTGCAGCATACGGATTCAAGTCATGTCAGCCTTCCATGCCCGAGCAGACATCCCACCCATCCACCCGCAACTTGTTGGCACAACTCAGTTGCCCATCTGAACTTGCTCGCACATTTCAATTGCCTCAATGACGCGCGGACGGTGCTCATGCAGATCCATGAGTTTGGCGGGCGAGTGATGATGGTGACAACGACACTGGCATTGGCGATGACGACAATGCTATTTGATGGTGGTGACGGCGGCCGCGATGAGGACGATGGAGACGACATCGACGATGCCGATGACGACGACGATTATGATGATGATATATGATGACGTCGACGATGGTGGTAATGGCGATGACGATGGCAATGATGACGCTGGCGATGATGATAGCGATGGTGCTGGAGAGGATGATGACGACGTGCACGCGCAGAACCGATGCATTCACGACATGCTGTCAGCATAAGACAGTCATGTGTGGCGCTCTTTCGTGCTTGAAAGTCTTGCGAATTGACACGATTCGCCAACCATTGGTTTTAGAAAGATTTCGAGGCGCGCGCGGAGAAACGCGCGTGTGGACAAGATTGGTAGGATTTGGCAGAGCGGGTGCGTGATGGTTGTTGGATGTGTTTGATTTGCGCGCGTGTTTGGCCTACATGGCTTGGTTTGACAGAATTGTTGAAACCAATGTTCATGTTTTTCTGAATTTAGCGAGCGCTCGCAGACATCGGGCAACTTGCTATTGAAAAGTCCGTCGGTATGATTATGTTGACAGTTGGGCACCATAGGCGTTTGCACGCTTTGGATATGCGGGCGGCGGCGCGCGCATGTAACCCACATGGTATTTGTTGATACCTATACGACCACCCTTCGGGTGAGAAGGACGTTTAGGGGGAAAGAACCAACAGCTGGCAGTTGCGATGGGTGCGATGGGTTTGAGAGAGAGGACACCACGGGACACAGCGGGACACCACTCGGACACCGCGGGACACCACGGGACACGGACACCACGAGACACCATCGGGACACCACGGCGAGACACCGCGGGACATTATCGGGACAACGTGCGACACCACGGCGGGACACCCCCAGCCACCGCGCGCACACTGGAAAGCCGGACTTTTGCATCCGACTCGCCCTAGCGACGGCACCGCGGGACACCATCGGGACACCGCGAGACACCACGGGGGGCACCCCTTGCCATCGTGCGCCCACCGGAGGGCCAGACTTTTGCATCCGAATCGCCCTAGCGACGGCGGGATCATTCCTCTCGCTCGCCCACGCAGCTTCGCCTCGCCCGCACGCGCGATTTCCTGGTGGGGGGCTCTTTGTTCCACTGTGATCTCGCCCCCCAACCTCCGACGGACTGTTACGCAACGCGCGTCATACATCCACGCGTGTGCACCTCATCGTGTCCTTTGAGGGGGTGGCGGGGAGGTGGGGGGGGGCGACCAGGGATTTCATACTCTGGATGAATTGTCGTGCATAACTTGCAAATCAGTACCCCAGGAAATATCGCAAAGCCGATTCTCGGTGTGGGGTTATGATCGTCATCTTTCTTATGAGAGGGTTTTCTTGATGGAATCGAAATCGTCACTTCCATACATATGGTGCGGGCCACATGTGCGCGTTCGCGCGCGAAACGCAGCAAAGTGTGAGTCTTCGGAAAGCATAACGAGCAATTGCGTTAATCAGGACGTACTTCGCCGCTACGAGAGTTCAGCCAAAATGCAGCGCCTCCCGTTAGGCGACGGGGCCCGGGGTCAACATTGTCAGTGGCGTTGCGCCCACGACAAGAGAGGAGACGTCAAAAGGGCCTGTTAGGCCGCGGGGCCCCGGCACAATGTTATGTTCAAGCATTTATCTGCTCAAGTATCGAGCCGAGGCACCCTATCGAATTCGAACCCGATGGTTTTGAAATCCAGTCGAGATCGTTTGGCGGAGGAAGTCTCAACCGAAAGCCACACTTTCGAAATCTCTGGTCAGAAATTGGAATATTAAATGCCAAAGGGCGTGGCCATTCGAAACGACCGTTTCGCTTGAGACTTCCACAAGAAACAATTTTGAGCGATTTTCGAAATTTTCGGGTTCGATTTCGAAATGGCGCTCCCGCCCAAGACTTCCGCCAAACTAGAATTCGAAACCTGTCTGGCTCGATTTCGAAATGGCGCTCCCGTCCAGGACACAACAGAATTCAGAGCATGTCCGGCTCGATTTCGAAATGGCGCTCCCACCCAAGATTTCCTGAACATTGGAATTCTACACCCTTCTTGGTGGAAGCACGAAGCCGGTCAAATTTTCGCATCGCGGATGCATAGGCATTTTGTTTGCGCGCGCCAGTGCTCACCATCACCATCATCGGGATGCCAGCGTGAGTTCATGAACCTGCTATGCCTGCAGGGGATTTTCAGCGGGCAAGCGGGTGAAATCTTGAGATGTTTGACAGAAGGGGTATATGACGGATTTACTGGCCAAGGTGGGAGCGTCCGGACGCGATGGGATTAGAAGGAGTAAAGCTTCATGACGGTGGGCGGACGGGCCTGACAGCGAGCCATGCTCTAGCATGCTCTACTTTAGGGATTCACCTAGCGTCACATTATCGCAATTGCAACCGTAATCTTACTGTACTCGTTATACCCTGGTGGCCGTAGCGGGCTGGGTCTGCCACCCCCGACCTACTTGCATGTGTCATATTTTGTCAGGGGGCTTAATTGACGAACTGTCCGTGTGACTAGTGAAATGCTGCCAGTCGGTGATCCGCCCCACCTGGCCAAGGTACTGTCGCTCGTGAGAACCACTGATTGGTGGGCGTTGTGTGATTTATGCGGGAAATCTTTACGACACATCCCAATGATGACCACATGCGCGCGCCCGCCCGCGCCAGACAGCATCACCACAACATACAGTTGTTGTGTGTAAGCACTTCACACTCGAGCTCTTGACCAACAATTTGAAACACTTACCCACTAAATAGCGAAGGATATGCTAGATGTCCTGTGTGCGTGTAGGTGCTGACAACATCATTGTTAACATGCGCGCACGATATCAAGCATGTGCAAGGCCGTTAAGGGGATCCAGCGAACACTTGTGTGAAATCCTCAACAATCGGGCAAGAGCTCTTGGTGCATGCTACGGGCTTCTTGGCAATGTGGGACCGTTCGGGTGCGATGGGGTCAAAAGGAGGATTGGGCGGGAGGGTGTGATCGCTCTCCGACGTTCTGGTGGACTACACGATCTGTTGTACATTAGCACGTAGTAACACATACACACATATGTGCGTACGCACTTGCATTCATACGCATGACATACGTACACGTATGCTGGGCGATGTGGCGCAATACCATAGTAGAGTAGGCGACCCTGTACCATAGGAAGCATGCGATTCGAGACGACGGAATATCATACGCGGGAGGCCATACAGGAAACCGGAAATCGCGACCGGAGATTGCGACCAGAGACCGCGACCAGAGAGTGCGAGCCCAGGATCCGTGGATCGCGCAATCCAGCCAGCGGCTTCAGAAACATTGTATGTATGCATTTACACATCTGTAAACATATATATATACATACACAAGACCCTTACAGGCAAACAACGTTGTTTAGAGAAGCGTTGGGCAGAAGAAACGTTATTGACTGGGAGTCCTATTGGGCCCCTATTTGAGGCCCTCTTGGGGATCATTGTGGACCTCTATTGGAGGCCTCTTGGGGGTCTTTTGTGCCGTCTTGAGTCTTGAGGCCATCATGAACCGTCTCACAAAGCTATGAGGCCGTCTGGGGGACCTCTTGGACCGTTTGGGTGGCCTCGTGGCACTCTGGGCCCGTCTTGGGCATCCCTGGCCCCAGGAAAATTCATGCGACACACCACGAAGCCTGCGACTGCTCCCACAAATCACGCGACATTCCCAAGGAAATCCGGCAATTGGCCTTCCGAGCCTTCCAAGGAACACACCTGCGCCTTGCCCCTTGCGGGTCGGCCTTCTTGGTCGGACGCGGCGCGCTGCGCCTCGCCTCGCCGACGAGGTGCTGTTGACTCATGGGAATGAGAGGCGAGCCTTCTTCAAGGAGAAGGAAGCCAGCGCACAGTGCTGCCTCGGAGCGGCTACGGGGGCGACGCAACTGTCGGAACGCAAGTCAGCGCACGGGGCGGCCATGGGCGCCCAGCCAAAGCTTGGAGCGGCCAGCCAGCGCACGGGGCGGCCACGAGCGGCTACCACGCGAAAGCCCACAGAACCCAGCCAGCGCACGGGGTGGCCACAAGGCGGCACAGGGCGGCCACTGTGGGAAAACCTGGGAAACCCAAACAATTCACGTAGTCAGTCGTAGAAGTTATTGAGCACACGCGTCATTTGGGGCACATCGTCGTTGTTGCGATTGGGGTCGTAATCTGGGCCCGCAGCCTGCATGACCGCTAATCACGATCGCATGGAGCACTTGATCGGCGATAATCGTCCCCCGATCACGTGGCTGGTTCACGTCATCAGCTTGAAATAGGCATTGCTCTTATCGTGATCGGGAGTGTGACCATGTCTAACAGCCTTGGCTTGCGATCGGCCCTACGGTTGGTCAGACATCAAAGGTCGGGCGTCGTCTCCAGCTGGGTGGGCGTGAAGGCCAGGCTCTCTGCCGCGCAGCTCCGAGCTACTCGGTCCCCAGCGTGCAGCCGTTCTTTTGGCGTCGCCCGAGCGCGAGAGTTCTCCTCGCTCTCAATTGCACCTCCCAGCGGCCCCGCGGCGTTGACCAGTTGCCACCCACCTCTACGCATCTGCGCCCATGACGTCAGCACGTGCGCGAGGAGCGGGAGGGCTTCAGTGCTCAGCTCGGAAGGGAGGCGTGGACAGATTTTCCCAGGGTGGACGTTCCGCCGCCTCCCACCCAAGAGGTTTCCGCAAGCCGCGAAAGGCCCCGGATTGGATCCATGCAGCCTTGCGCTGCGCAGGGGGACGACGGAGACCGACGACGTCGGCGGCAGCGATGACGACGGAAACCGACGACGACGACGATGGCGGCGGCGGCGATGGCGGTGGTGGTGGTGGTGGCGGCGGCGGCGGCGGCGGCGGCGACGGCGACGACGACGACGACGACGATGACGACGACGACGACGACGACGACGACGATGACGACGACGAAGACGACGACACGCGCGCCCCGCGCGAGACGAGGCCGAGTGCGCGGACGGCGCGCCGTCGTGCGACGGCGTCCCGTGGGCCAGCACCCCGTTCGTGGGGGAGGCGGGCGCCTCTGCCCGTCACTGGGGTCTTTGCCCTCCGCTCCCCCCCCCACCTCCGAGCAGGAGGAGGAGGAGGAGGAGGAGGAGGAGGAGAAGGAAGAGGAGGAGGAGGAAGAGGAGGAGGAGGAGGAGGAAGAGGATGAGGAGCAGCAGCAACAGCAGCAACACGAGCAGGAACAGGAGCAGGAACAGGAGCAGGAGCAGGAGCAGGAGCATGAACAAGAAAACGAAGAGCAGGAGCAGGAGCACGAGGAGGAGGAGGAGGAGGAGGAGGAGGAGGAGGAGCAGGAGGAGCAGGAGGAGCAGGAGCAGGAGGAGCAGGAGGAGCAGGAGGAGCAGGAGGAGGAGGATGAGGAGCAGGATGAGGAGGAGGAGGAGGAGGAAGAGGAGGAAGAGCAGGAGCAGGAGCAGGAGGAGCAGGAGGAGCAGGAGCAGGAGGAGGAGGAGCACGATGATGATGATGATGATGATGATGATGATGATGATGATGAGGAGGAGGAGGAGGAGGAGGAGGAGGAGGAGGAGGAGGAGGAGGCGGAGGAGGAGGAGGAGGAGGAGGAGCAGCAGCAGCAGCAGGAGGAGGAGGAGGAGGGAGAGGCGGATTGTCACAACACCAACCAGGGGAACGACAGCTGCAGGAATCGTACGGCTGCTAACTGAATGTGGGATGACCACCCTTACCTTGCGCAATTGGGAAATTGCAAGGAAGTGCGGCGGGACCAAAGGTTCTCTTGAACGTCCACAAATTGCACCGAACCCCTATTACGGTGCCGCTTTCGTGTGGGAAGAGATCCAGGCGTCTCTCATGCATACGAGAGGCTCTTTTTCGAATGGCGTGTGGAAGACCCAATCTGGAAGTTGGACCGCATCCAGGTGATCTTTTGACCAGGCTCTGCTTCAGTGTCTGCTCTGCTCTTCAGTGTCTGCTCAGTTTCTCACATGATTGGGATGGCCCTGTCTTTCTTCACATGCCTCAGCATGTGCTTGACTCAAGCATTCACGATCGCCCCATTTGTCGGCTTGGCATCTTCCTGCCCATCCTCTGGAGTCTAATGGTTCCTGTTGCTGCGTTTCTTATCTTCACCTATCGTTGTTTTCTATTCGTATCCCTTGCGGTACAGTAGAGCATATTATTAAGTCATTTCTCCCCCCAAGTCGGCCCAGCGATTCTGAACAAATTTGCTGGAGCTGGCCCAGTCTCTTAAGCACGTTCGCCCCTGCAGCGCTAACCAACAACAGCTGGCCCAGGTTAATTTAGATAAATGTCCGGGAAGCTGGCCCGGGTTTCTTAAGTCGTGATGTTCATAATCGGCTTTTCGGCTGTTAGTGAAGAGGCCCTTTCGGCAGTGCCCATCACCCGGGTGCAGCGAGCATGGGGTTCGGGCGCGGCGCGGGCGCAGCGCAGCATATAGGGACGTGGTAGTCGCGGCTACGTGCGAGGAAGAGGGAGGATGGATGGTGTGCTCCCTTTGAGCTGGCGGCGGAAGCTTCGGACGAGACTTCCTTTTAGCAAGGGGCCACGACCCGGGGAGGGTTCGGAAGCGACCTTGCTGCGACGGCTCTGGAAGACAGATCGCCAGCTCTGAAGGGGTCGAGGGGAGGGTTGGTAAGAGCTGTGCACTTTCCAAGACCTGCGCGGAGTCAAGGGGGCGGCGCACAGAACCGACCCTGGAAAACCGTGCAAGCCTTTGAAAATTCCCACAGTTCCAACAAGGACCTCCGCCCGAAACCCCGGCCAGGGCGAAGCAGAAGAGGCAACTCAGAGACTCCCCGCCATATGTGGGGGGGGCCCAGGCAGGGAGCACCTGCCTGGGGCTCGTCCGATCCCCCCACGCTGCCTGGTCGACGTACCCCGCAGGTACGGGACGGTGACAGGAGGAGGGAGAGGAAGCCACCCCAGGGAGGGGGGGATTCAGCCCGACCCGACCCGCCTGTCAGGAGACTGGGGGGCGAAAGATGCCGAAGCCGAAGCTTCCAACACCAGACCAGAATTTCCAGGCGAATCCTGCCGTGACCACGACGAGACCCCAAAAAACGAGCAGCAGACCAGGAAACAACCCCCTCAGTGCCCCGGGCAGACGGGAGGGAGGGCGGGAGGGGGGAGGTAATTGTTGCCTGCGGATGCCCAGAAGCGATCCACCTCCCTCTCCACGTGGAGCGCAAGCAGCGCCGCCTCCTTGTACCCCGCGTCTGCCGGGGCAGCCGACAGAATCGCCGTGGCCGCAGCCTCTCTGGAGGAGGGAGCTGTGCACCCTCGGGCCTCCCAGAAAGCGCGCCTGGGGAACTCCGTACTGCCACAGCTCCCGAGAACATGGAAGGTTGGACTCAGAAACTGCTCCCCGCAGAGCACACACATTTGCCTCCGTGCCGAAGAGAGGGAACCAGAAGAGTGCCCTAGGGCGACCAACCGCCCCCGAAGCCTGCTGAGCGAGCGCTGGCCCAGTAGCACTTCGAAAGGGAACCCTAGCTTGAGGGCCCCGGCCAGGTCCGTCCTGGGGACTGGGCCGAGAGCAAGGACCGGAAGCGGCCTCTGGAGCACGCCCGCCTGCCTCCGCAGCTCCTCCCCGCACCGCGCCTTCAGGAGGGCCCGGACGTGGACCTTGTACGCGTGCAGGGACGACCCTCCATACATTCCCTCCCAAGCAGGCCAATCCGGGATGGACCAAGCCTCGAGGAGGGCAAGCGACAGCTGCGCCCAGGTGCGGCCCTCTGACCCGTGGGCCTGCAGGAATACCCGTTTGTAGAGATCTGCGTCGGGGAGCCTCCAGAGACCGGCCCGCCGGGAGGCCACCTCGTACACGGCCCTGGCAGGCCCGGAGAGAGCCCAGCCCAACTCCAAGGGAGCGTGGGCCTGCCCTCGCCAGGGCGGACAGCCCAGAAAGGCGCGCGCCCACGCTCCATAGCTCTGTTCAAGCTTGTCCGACGCCCCCTCCGCAACTGCCCACATCCAGCGCCCGAAGCGCAGTGCGCCTTCGATCTGGGTCTCGAAGATGCGAACCGCCACAGCGAGCGGAAGGACTCCGGCAGCAACATGCCCCGCGAGGGAGGCGCACTGTGCGGAAGCGGCGCCCAGCCTTGCATCGAGCAGTTTCGAGAAGTCGAGGTCACCAGACCAGAGTAGCCCGAGCCACTGGTGTGTGTCTTTGAGCCCTAGTTCAATCGGCGCCCCTCCCTGGAGCGGTAGCACAAGGGGAGCTGCTGCCGCCCCTGCCCTCCGGGACTCCGGGGAGCCATGCACTACAACAGCGTGTTTGGAGGGCTTGGTATGCGGACTGGCTTTGTGAGCAAAAGCCCACTCGGCTAGAGCATTCTGCGCGAGCTGCGCTCCTCCCCGAGTGGAAGAGAGCAGAACCGGGTCGTCCGCGTGTAGAATTGCAGCAAGGCGCAGTGGCGCGGTGGCATCCAGCGCGGCCAGAGCAGAGGCCTCCAGCGTAAGATCGGCTTCTAGATCCGCTGCCCGAGGAAGCTGCGTGCCCTCGCGGAGTGCTCTAGTGAGCTCGGCGGTCTGGACAGGATCGGGCATGCCTGTGCCCCGCCACGAGCAGCCGACCCAGGCGCACGGAACGCGGACTCCTACTCCGATTCCGCAGCCTGCCTTGTGTAAGGCTTCTGGGAGAAAGTCCATGTATACAGGAAAGGTCAGGGGACCCAGCGTTCCCCCTTCGGCAATCCCTTGGTCAATGGAAACAGTGGAGACTCCGTTGAAGTTGACATGGATCGTGTCCGAAGCGAGCATGCTGGCCAGAAGCGAGAAGATGCCATCACGCACACCGGCCTTTTCATGAAGACGTAAGAGGAGCACCTCCCTCCAGGTCCGGGGAAAGGCCTTTTGAAGGTCCCCGAAAACCGCCCAAAGAGGCCGGCCTGCTCCCTTCGCCCCTGCCGCGAGCTCGTGGAGGACAAGGTGGGCGTCTCCCACGTCTCGCACGTAGCCGCTTTGGCCTGGGAAAATGGACGCGCGGAGTTGCTGCGCGAGCCTCTGGTGGAGCAGCATCTCCTGCAGCAGGCCCATCTGTGATTTTACCATGATGAGCCGGAAAGAGGCCCCCTTGTCCAGCGGGCCCTCCTTGTGCAGAGGGACGGCGCAGCTGCCCCTCCAGGCCGCTGGTCGAAGAGCGAGGCACCCCGGGCCCGTCAGACGCAGGGCCGACCAGACAGCCGTCAGCAGAACCGTGTCACCCAGCTTAAGGGCGCGACGCGGCACCAGGTCTGGCGTCGTGGCCCCTGTGCTGCCCATGGTGGACAGAGAAACTTCGACTTCCCACAGCTCTACCGGGGCATCGTGCGACCCGCGCCCACGGTAGGCACGCGCTTGGCCTTGAACCCCGGGCAGAGTGCCCTGCACATGTGCATGGAAGTCCAGGTCCCACGGACCTGGCCACTGTGACTGGTCCCGTAACTGTTGGCACAAGGACTCCCGCGAGGCTTCTAGAGACAGGGTCTCCCCAGCATGTCCCCTCAGACGGGGTGCTGGCCTGGGCTCCCTCGGGCGTAGGAGCCGCATGCATTTTACTGCACGTTCCTGAGCTGTGCCCGGCCCTTCGATGGCCGACCGCACCTTGCCCCGCAGGGCTGGGGTCCCAGTGCGCCTACGGGGGCAGGCAGCCGCCTGAGGCACCACCCAACCCGCCAGGACGAGACCCAGAATGAGATGCAGCAGCCAGGCGGCCACGTCCGCCAACCACTGCGCCGCTCTCAGACCTAGTTTCCTCGTACGGGAGCTGCCCTCTTCATCCTCGCAGTAATGCCGCAGAATGCCCGCATACGCTTGCAGGACTGGGCGGGCCACGGCGAGCCCCTCGGCCCATGCAGCCTCAGAGTTCCACCACCGCGGCATGCGAATGGCCCCTGGACCGTCGCACACCGGCGGAAGAGGAAGGGGGACAGTGAAGTCGATGAGGAAATGGTCCCCGTACGTGTACTCCACGCATTCTTCCCAGCTGCACCCCCCCTCCCCTCGACAGGATAGTCCGTTGTGCACTCGAGCTACACCGTGGGCCA